GTAAGTACATCAGATACAGTAGAAGCTAGTGAAATAGCCTGTTATATAAAAATAATAATAAACTTAAAAATAGAAGAACAGAGGCATCTCAAATCTGACTTAACTCCCATTATCCGTGATCCTGTCGTCTTATTGTTTTTGACTGCCTTTTATCTCCTACAGCATTTAGTTATTTCACTGGAGGAAAAAAAAAAATCAAATTATTGATCTATAAATTTTGTATATGCAATTTAACTGCAGTGCCTAAAATGGTTTAGGAAAGGAATTAAAATGTGTATGTATTCAAAATATGCTAGGCTGATAATCCATATATCCCCAAACACAAGAGAAAGACTAATAATTGTGAATCATGTTAGAAGGGGCTGTCTTTATGTTAATCAGAATGAAATGCGTGTGTTTTGTTCCACAAGGTTGCAGACTCTTGCCTTGCAGTGATCACAAAAAGAATGCGAAAACATTCATGTTCTCATTTTCATATCTACCTTTGCTTTATTATTTTAATTTTTTTTTAAGTTGGCAGGCATCAAAAGTATTTTCAAAGTCCAAGGCAATTATTCTGTTGCATAGCTCTGTGGTTTATGTGCTGCAAACCTCTCTGTATTTAATATATGCAGGTGCATTTTGTAAAACTGTATCAGCTTGGAAAAACTTGACTGAAAAACAGAGTGATTTGGAGGTTTGCTCCTGTTGGAGAGTGGGGGGGAGAGGGATAGCTTAAAGGGAAAAAGCCTAGTAGGAGCTTAATTAAAGATCCAATAGAGAAAAATCTCTAGGAAAAAAAAATGAACCCAATAAAGTACTTAGAGATTTGTTTTCTGAATGATGGGCATGCATATTTGCCATTACTGTTAATGAGAGCTGTGTGTGCACATGCGCAGGTGTCAGAGAGTATGAAACCCTTAATGTACGGCTCACTTTGATTTTATATTCATAAGAGTCTTTAGTTCGACTAAAGCTTTTCAAGACCCAGTATTGGATATAATGAGGTTAAATACATCTCACAAGATCCTTCCCTTCTTGATTATTTAGAGATGCAGTACAGTTAAATGCACAACGTAAAGAAATGCATTACCTGAAAGTTTACTCTTGGCGGCTCAATTTCTTCTCCTTCCAAAGGAAACTAGATGGAGAACATCACCTCTCGAGTTTCAGTGCCTGTTGCATAGTCTCTGCAGCGCTCACAGAGGAAAAACAATAAAGAATTTCTTACTGTTCAGCTTCAGTTTCTGTGATGCATTAGGATACGATGCTCACTGAATCACCAGCACTTGAACATGCCCTTCAGGTGGTTCTCCATCCCCCTGCTATGTCCTCTTGGAAGGAGGAGATGCGGTGCCTTAAGCGGATGCAGTCAGTTCACAGGGCACAGCCTGGCATGCCATTCGCATCTCTTCTTATGCACCTTATTCTGCAGTTGAGTGTTTAATACCTCTTCTCTGCCATTATCGCTTTCTCTTCCTGATAATCCACCCTCACACTGGTCTTCTGGGGCTAAATATAGTCTTTATCCCCCTTATCGCTATTTTTTATTGCCCTTTGGTGTATGCTTTGGCTGAGCAAACACTACTGTATTCTGAAGAACATTATCAGGACACCATGATCTCATCCTTCGTGCTGTCTTCTGGTCTCATTCTCCCTGCTCGTGTCCAAGTCAGGTGATTTGAAATCTTTTAGTGGCCAGTTGGGGAGATTTTTGACGGTAAAAATAACAGGTAACCAGTAATAGACCTGCGAATTAAGAGTTTGAAAGCATGTCAGGAAGAGACTGTCTAGTAAAGCATTAATATTCATGAATGAGAAATTAATGTCCCTTTCTGCTATTTGAACTATTATTAATTCTTATTATGATTTTGAGAGCCATTATACACATTGATAGGCTAATGAACAGTCATTTATAGAGGGATTTTAAGACACTTTATTCCTAGGAAGAAAATGCTAGCACTCTCAGACATGCTTTGCACTATTTCAAACCCCTAATTCTTGTTGCTTGCTTTACTGCACATCAGGGTGATTTCCACCTAATCCAACTGTCTAAAGTAATCTACGATTTCCAATCAATCTTCTCTTTATTTGGCCTTTACTGCCACAGTATCTACAAATCCGTATTCTTACCAACTCTACTTAAAAAACGTCTGTAAACAACAATTAGGTGTTTTCAGTGTTTTTGGAGCTCTTCTGTATGTTAATATTCCTGAGGCAAAGTAAAAAATCTCTTTTCTTCAATATAATTTCCATTGCAGTTGGTTCTTTGACTACTTTGTGCTAATTACTCTACCCGGTCAGTACTAAGCTGCTAGAAAATTTCCCTTCTTCTTCAGGTGAGAAAGAGGCTTTTGTATCTCTGTCTTTTCTGTCCATTCTTCAAAAATGGGAATTATTAGCATATAGGGCATGAGCGTGCTGTACAGTTAGAAAAAGCGCTTAACAATGCCAGACATAAGCCAACCTGATGATGGCTAGGAAAAAGGTAATTAGGACACATTCCCACACTGCCATGATGATAATATCCTTGGTCCGGCACTGAGCACCTCTTAGAGCCTTATATTTGGTAAATAAGATGAAGTGGTCTAAAAACCTATCTGTAGTAGGTTCCAACAAGTTACCAATAATATCTCTTGGGGATTTAGTCATTTAACTAAAAGTTTCAGGAGGAATGAATACCCAAGAAGTGCCATGGACTCCTTATGCTGATGCTATTTTAAAGATTATGTGAAAAAAAATCCAAAGCAAACTTAGTATTACTTTTCCTGGATGATGCCCTTTTAATTAATATCTCTATTATGTACATGGGAACAAAAATTTACAGTACTGTGTATTAGACAAAGTGCTAGCTTTCCACCTTCAATTTCCCCTATAAATAACTTTAGCTATGGCCATAACATTAGAAGAATTTAGATACAACCAGAATATCAGAAGATAATTCAAGGCATTATAGAAACTTAGAATTCTGCTTGCCAGGCTGAAGCTGGATAATTACTGTCCATATAGCTTATATCGGAGAATTTATGTGATAAATGAAAGGCCACAAGACCTCTGACCTAATATTAATTTTGTTTCTTAGGATTTGGAAAGCAGTTTTTTTTCAAGAATTTTGTTTAGTATATTACTGGCGAGTCATTTTGTGGTATTTTGGATGAAATATGCACTTCTAAAGTGTGCCCAAATGCTGCTATGAAGTCAGGTTCAGCCACACTTAAATTACTTAGCACCGCAAATAGTTCTATTGATTTTCTGGAAGACCAACAGACGTGGTTCAACAGATTGTCTGCAAGTAAAATTGTGCTTCATGTGAGTAAGGTGGTAGAAGTGCCAATAACTGAAACACTTAATCACCTTATTTACAGAATTCAACGTACATGGCCGTACAAACTTATGCCAGAACTTCAGCCACTGAAACAAAAAAAAATCTACCTCCAAAATCTGTTAAGAAATATTAGCAGGTAAATGTCTTAGTTGATTATAAATCAACTATAATTGAACTAGTTTTCTTGAAAGGTCTCAGGCAGAAGGCATGGAAAAAAAGAAATTTATCTACTACAGTCTTCTGTGCGATGATGGCTGATATACACAGCATAGGAAATATTCAAATACCGCCTAGTCCTTCCAGTAGCAGGAGAAAGCTGTATAGGTTGTGAATCTGTATAGACAGTGCATCTGTGCAACTGCAGTTACGAAAAAAACCCCACTGATATTCCACAAAGGAAAATTCCACTCAGTTCCCAAAGCTGCAACATCTGTCTCTGGTTTGGAAGGCTTGAGCTCAGGTCTTTGATTTTCTCTGCAACAGGTTGGAAAGATTACTCCATTGGAAAGATTTTTTTCAATGAGGTCTAGTCATTATGCCTGCATTTCAGTTCCTTATCTCTAATATGAATTTAATGGGTGTCACGTAAGTACTGTAGATAAATAGGTGATTTATTGTTTAAAATGCACACAGAGAGACAGATGTATATATACTCTAAATAGAAATCCTTTTGCCAGAATTATGATTCTTCCACAGACAGTTTTCTGAATGAAGGTATCTGTTACTGCTGTGGGTTTCCCACTTAAAGCAGATGAACACAGGAATGAGATTAATAAAAATGTAGTGTTGCAAAATCTGACTTGCAGGCTTTCAAGTGGAATCCACAACCTAATATGAGATATCTCAGGCCTCGGTGTGAGGAAGAGAAAACATGGGATCCACATCAGCCACCAAGTCCCTGGAGAAGGGATAGCATTTGTGGGGCACCAGATCTAGTTAGCATACAGGGCTTAGGTCCTGGTAATCTCTCGCAGGATCAAGGCTCCCCAGACACTTAGGTAAAGTAATTCGCCATTTCTGGACCTCAAGCTTTTCAACCCTGGCAGAAAAGGAAGCATTTCTCTGCACAGGGAGAAGTAGACCCATAGGCATCTAAAGTTCTTCGAAGGCCACAATCACAGCATCTAATTAGCTTATACACCTTCAGGGATAGATGGCAGCTGAATAAGTTTTTTCAAAATTATAATGGTGAATTTAAGTGCCTAGGCACTACTTAAGGTCCACATTAGATACTCATATAATTTTTGTTTTTTCAAGGTCTGGATTTTTTTTTTTTTTGATTGCTCTGATAGATGATTAACACTTTTTTCAACTGATTTCACACATATCCTTTCAATATATCAATTAGGGTCTTCTGGTGCATGCTAAACAGAATTCACAGTGTCATTCCTATCAATCCTATAATGTTATGTGTTACCCTACTATATGGAAACTGAAGAGGGTTATTTAGGATCTTACACATAATAGAGTTTTATAACTTTTTTGTTCTTGAAAGATGTTAGATAAAAAATTTATTTCAGTTTTGCTGCTATGAGATACTGATCTTTACTGGTCTTGTCTGACAAAATCTATGATGATAACATAGCAAAGCAATAAACTCTTTCCTGAGAATGATAGATCATTTTTAAACCCACAAAAGCTAGCAGCGCTACCAGTGGTAGTCAGTCCTCTCTGTGTTGGTCAGCTGTCTTCATCT